AGTATTCCGGCTCACTATACAGATATGCTTGCGTCTTTTGAATCCCGTAACATACACGCTATTCTTGTCTCCGAATCTTGGTTGAAGCCATGTTTACCTTCCACTTCTTACTCACTGCCAGGATTTCATCTTATTCGCAACGACCGCTTAGGCAAGAGCGGAGGTGGAGTGGCGATTTACCTGCGTTCTTACATTCCTTTTACTGTAGTAAGTACGTCCACTCAGCCCCCACTTTCCAATGCGGCCGAGCATCTATTTATTGAAGTTTCACTATCCCATTCCAAAATTCTTCTTGGCGTCTGTTATAGCCCATCTCTCCAAATTGACTACTTCACATCCTTTGAAGGTTTATTAGAAAAGTTTACTCCGTTATATAGTCACACCATTATTATGGGTGACTTTAACACCTGTCTACTCAAAGGGGACAGTCGGTCTAAGAAGTTACAATCGGTTATTGACGCGTGTAATCTACACTTATTACCTCTCTCGGCAACACATCACCTACCCGATTGTACCCCTTCATTACTTGATATTGTTATTGTATCCGCAGCTGACTTTGTCCACAAGCATGGCCAACTTGCGGCGGATATTTTCTCTCATCACGACCTCTTATTCCTTTCATACAAAGTTCGTCCCCCCAAAGCAAAATCGAGATATCTTCTGCAACGTAATTTTGGTGGAATGGACAAAGAACGCCTCATTGAAGATGCTAGTCTTGTGGATTGGTCTGCGATTGCAAAAGCTACCACGGTGGACATGAAAATAGAATTACTTAACTCCTTTCTTGTACAAATTTACGATATTCATGCTCCGATTAAGCCTGTAAAAATGAAACACCTACCTGCGCCTTGGTTAACCGATGACCTTAAAAAACTTATCAGGAAAAAAGGTTACGCAAAAAGTAAGCTTAAGGCGGATAAATCCGATAAAAATCTACGAAACTATAATAAAGTACGGAATCGCTGCAATACATTATGTAGAGATGCACAACGACGCCACATTCACAAATCTGTCGAAAACGGCGACACTGTCAAAGTTTGGAAATTTCTTAAATCTCTGGGAGTTGGTAAATTACACTCTAGCTCTCTTCATAATAATATTGATATTGAACTCCTTAACCAACATTTTACCTCTTCCAGTACAATTGATAGATCAGATAAAGATATCACGTTGAGTATTCTTTCTAAAGCGCCAACTCCTGATTTCCCACCGTTTAATTTCACTCCTTTCACTGAGTGTGATGTTAGAAGGAACATATTGTCGGTCTCGTCGAATGCCGTGGGGAATGACAGCGTTAGTCGTAACATGATCCTACCTATCCTTGACCTAGTTACTCCTGTTATCACCCATATCCTGAATGAATCTATCTCCACATCTAAATTTCCTGAAGCATGGAAAAGTGCATTAGTAACTCCTCTTCCTAAAAAGGCTCATGCCGTGCACTCTACCGATTTCCGCCCTATCTTCATTCTCCCTTTTCTATCTAAAGTCCTAGAGAAACTCATTTTCCACCAATTAAATCTCCATCTGAATAGAAACTGCCTTCTAAATCCTTTTCAATCCGGTTTCCGGTCAGGACATAGTACAACTACAGCGCTGGTTAAAATTACTGACGATATTCGACGAGGTATGGACAATAGACAGCTCACAGTATTGGTACTATTGGATTTCAGTAATGCATTTAATTCTGTTCATCATGACATTCTGCTGAGTCTGCTTCGTTCTGCTAACATATCTCCACCAGTGGCCGGCTGGTTTCAGAGTTATCTTAGTGGCCGACAGCAGCGTATTCGCATTGATGGTATGTTTTCATCCTAGCGTGAATTACGAGCTGGAGTGCCTCAAGGTGGTGTGTTGTCTCCATTACTCTTTGCTATCTTTATTAATTCAATCTCTCACAATATTACTTCTCTCTACCATATGTATGCAGACGATTTTCAACTGTACACACATTCAAATCTTGAAAATTTGCCCACTGCTGTTACTGCCATTAATGGTGACCTGGCGGCTATTAGCGAGTGGAGTAAGAGCTATGGTCTTAAGATTAATCCTTGCAAGTCCCAGGCCATCATTGTTGGCGGAGTTGGCATGATTTCAAAGGTAGATTGGGATAACCTTCCCTCGATAACATTAAATGGTGTTGTGGTGCCATACAACAAAACTATTAAAAACCTTGGTGTTCACTTCGACTCTACTTTCTCGTGACCACCAGTTAAAGGAAGTTAGCAGGAAAACATTTGCAGCCATGGGTTCTCTGCGGCGCTTACGTTCTTTTCTCCCCATTCCTACTAAGATTATGTTAGCACAATCCTTACTTCTTTCCCTTCTCGTTTATGCGGACGGAAGCTATCTTGATTTAACCGAGGACCAACTTAACAAGCTTGAGCGAATTCAAAACTTAGCTATCAAATTTATTTTCGGTCTACGCAAGTATGACCATGTCTCCGAATATCGTACAAAGCTCAAGTGGTTACCCATCCGCCTTCGCCGGAATCTGCATATTGTTTCTCTTCTGTACTGTGTTTTGTTCAATCCTATGACTCCGAGTTATTTGAAGGAACAGTTTAAATTTCTTGGTCATGACAGACCAGAAAGAGTTCTGCGATCAGCCAGTGAACTCATTATCACCCCGCATACTTTCCGGACCAATTATTTTAAGAACTCTTTTACGGTCAAAGCCATTTGCCTATGGAACGCGCTTCCTCCACACATCCAGCGCTCAAAAACATTACGCAAGTTTAAAACTGACGTTAAAAATTATTATCTGTCACTGTGCTCAAGCTGATTATCACCGACGACATTTGTATATTTATTTTTTATTCTTTTCTTCCTGTATATATTTTTGTAAGTTATTTTACAGTATATGTTTAGATTTATGTATGTCTATTGGATCTTATTTCGTATATATTAGTATATTATTATTATACAAAAATACAACATATTCGTTTAGTTTATTTAAATATTAGTATGTAAGTTTATTATTTTTTACACCACCTACCATTGTCCAAATTAAATATTTTTAACCACAAGGTTGTCTGGAAGAGATCGCTCCTTAGCGATAAGACCGCCTTATTGTTTATACCTCTTAAGTTTATAGTTCTGTAACATTTCCTTTCATGATTTTTTGGTGTTCAATAAAGAATATATAATATAATAATATGCTGAGAAAATAAGCATAATAAACTAATTAAACTATTGCCTATAAGTAAACTATAAGTTTTTTTGCTGCCTGATCTTGCGTATGAGAAATAAGGCAGCGGCACAACTTCTTAGCTAATTTATCTACACGAAATCCCAATATTTTACTCCAGATTTTTAACTTTCCTTTTAACTTTAAAATCGATTTAAAACAATAGTGAAGTGTAACATATGAAAAATCATTGCCAATAAACCATTTATGATTACTTTTTGATTACCGACAATAAGTAAGATGCGAGGAATCAACATTTATGACAGATTTGCGAATACCATAATATACCATAAACTCAGCCTGTTCGAGTCTACTGCGCGCGAGTCTGATCGATATCGAATCGAGGGCACCCTCTCCACAAGCCGCCGCCTCACGGCCGGCGTATCACAAGGCTCCTGCCTCTCACCCTTGCTATTTACGCTCTACACGAGCGACATACCTAGAGACCCCCACGTTAATCTCGCGCTTTTCGCGGATGACACGGGGCTCTTTTACTCAGACCGCAACCTCAGTCAATTAACAACTCGACTCCAAAGCGCTGCCGACCGCCTCGGCGATTGGTTCCGCAAATGGAGAATCGATATTAATCCCGAAAAGAGTGTGGCGATTCACTTCACACGAAGTACCTACCCGTCACATCTTTATAATGGCCCTCGCCAATGCAGAAAGTTGGGGCAAATATCCCTTTATGGCCAACCGCTCCCCTGGGAGAAAAAGGTCAAATACTTAGGAGTCACTTTCGACTCGCGTATGTCATTTACTACGCACATTAATAACGTTCGTAACAGAGCCGCGTTCGTCTCCGGCCGGCTACACAATTTAACTAATGCTAAAAGTAAAATGCCCTTAAGGCACAAATTATTATTATTATATAAGACCTGCGTACGACCTATTATGTCCTACGCATGCATGATCTTCGCCCACACGCACCCTACTCGCTTGTACAAGTTGCAAATAGAACAAAATAAGTTTATCCACCGCGCAACCGGTGCGCAGTGGTATCAGCGCAACGTCGACCTGCACAGCGATTTGCAGACTCCCGACGATTCGCGCACATTTTAAAGATTTGACAAAACGGTTCTTCGATAGAGTCCAGCATCATCCCAACCCTCTGGTGGTAAGCGCAGCAAACTACCAACCGGACACAAACGCGAACGTAAACAAGCGTCGCCCGCGAAACGTCCTCATCGACCCGGTCGACGATGAGGACTTAGATACGATGGACCCACCGCCGGGGGTCCCGCCGGATAACACTACACCCACAGTTAGTGTAACAACAATCACACCAGTTCGCCCTCGCCTCCGAGCACGGCGAGACCCACACACAACGCGTACACAAGGTACACCCGCGTTCCGGGGCGGTTCTCACCGCTCCCAGCCACCGATTAGCTAAATGCACAGTCGACGGCCGTCGGGGTCTCGGTCCGAACCGGTGACCTCAACGGCCCTTAGATGACACACCATAGTAGTTAAACGCACGCATGAGCACATGCACGACCCTACCCATAGCGGAGGGTCCAAACCCGTGGGTTCTGGCTAGCCCACCGGTTCTGCGTCCGATGAAGCTTTAATAGTCTCGGGACTTTACTTTCAAAACATCAGTTAATACAAGATACAAGAAGCGAGTCTGTGGGAGAACTTACCCCACAGATTTCCACGACGCACGACCCATCGACTTCCCGCACATTTGCAAAGATCGTCACTCCATCATGCGGGGGCCGTCCTAAACTAGCGCGACGCCGCTACTTGAGAACCCTTTTCACCAGCTTTAATAAATTTTCGTGGATATAATATATCAAGATCAACTCACCCTGCTGGATAGGCTACAATCTCGGTGTTGGGATCGCAGTCGAGAGCCGCGTTACTACTGACAGTCAGTCCTAACACGGTCTCCAATTTGATCTGGGAACAATGATATGCGCTAAGTTAATAACACACAAAATTTATAACAAAGACAACATATAAAACAATATAACAAACAAAATAATACACATGAAGAAATTGCTATATTGTGCCTTTACAGACATCATGAGAGTCAATAAGGTTTGAAAGGACATTTCATTATGCATGTTACAAAACACTGTTGTTTAATAACATAGCCTTCGTCATTTAAGGATATTTACATGTAGCTTTATCAAAAGTAATCATACTGATAACATTTTTAAACACTTCAGTTATTTCTGAGATTACCTTCATAATTTTAACATACAAAATTGGTTTACCACTGTCATTTACATATAGATGGCATTTTCAATGCTCTCTTTAAGAAACCAACATTCAAAAGAGCTTTTCAATTCATTTTATAACGGGGCCCCAACAATGTATAATATGAATGGGCAAACTTTACGATGAACTTCGGAGCATAGAGGCGTGAACCACCTCTGTAATAATTCAAAGCTCACCGTTCAACATAATGGTAACATTATTAAATTTTTACAAAACCGACCTACATTTTTTTTTAATAAGTTCACTTTAGAAAGAATTATAATTATAATAAAGAGAATATTTTTATAATAAAAGTATTCATTGAGAGCTGCAGGATTTTTAATTAATACTACTCTTTCCCCTCAAGTTGAGAAACCTATTCGAAAAGAGTTCATTAGGAATTCCATCCTTTATGATTATGTCGACAAAACTTTACGTAACTATATTTAATATATATAAAACATTTTCAGCTATGCTTTTATCCAATTAGCTAACTCAGTCAATTAGAAACAGTATACGATTAGTTATTCGGGGTTATGGTAAGTACATGAAGAAGGACCTAGTAGGCAGGTGTCAAGGTATATGTAATTATGGTTCGTATAACTTGTAACTGATTACTTTAAGGTCGCTCATCTATCGTATTCGCCTAACATAGGCATACCGGAAAAATAGCAATGTACCATCGTGACTATAGTGCCTTCGCTCTTTGTGTTGACAAAACTACTACTGATTTAAGATTTATTTCCTCTACTGAGGATTACGCTGTGTAACTCAGCTGTCATCGTTGTTCAATAACTATTATTTGAATGATTTTCAATGTCGTATGTTAACGATTTAACAAAACATTCCTGATCCCTACTGTAAGATATATCACTACGCAATTTAACGTACTTGTGAGCTAATTTGCTAACACTTTGTCTTATCATGTAACAATTTTGCACTTATGAATAATGGAGCAGTTTAAACAAAAAAAAGAAAATGATAAAGCCTTAGCTGTGGTAACAGAAACCACGCACCGCGCACTCTAAAAAGTCTTTGCCGTAATTATTAAAACATACTGTTGCACTTCTCTCTACAGTACATTCAGTTTCAAAAATCTTACAATCATAATTCTCAGAACAACATAACAACGTCGAATTCTACCTCTAAATTCAAACAAAATCTAAATTAATAATTAACTATACTACTTATTTAAAAGCTCGTAAAGTACTAGTACGTCTTACATTTTCATTATTAAACATTTTCATTGAGACCAAGAAACCTGGTTGACCTTGCAACACGACGTATATCTTTAAACACGTACAGAATATTGTAGGCTAATGCACGAATATGAGATGAAAAATAAGTTGCGTAAAACGCTAAATTATGTAGATCGTTCCAAAAAAAGTCTAATTTTGCATACGGGTTCCGCGTCCGTGGCGTTTCAAGCGATCAAGGTCGGCAATATCCAAGATGGCGGACCGGGCGTCCTTGCTGAGCTCGCAAGGATGCGCGGTAAATATGAACTCTGTAATCTGCTGTTATTAATAGGTTAAATAACAAAAAATCATGTGCAATACAAAGTATCGTCTGATGGAGACGTAATTATTTAAACACATTGTTGACGTAAAAATGTCGAAGACTAATATTGGTAGTGGATAAGAAAATCTTTTACATGTAAATGTTATACAATGAACACTAGATTTAATCCATTTTCCCAAAAAGAAGAAATAAATTTACCGCAGCATACACATAAAAAACTATTCATCACTTTATTTATGAACGTAAAAAGTTCATAAATTGTTTTGTAGTGTTTATATTGTACAATTTAAGACAACTGCGCATAGCTACGTCTCGAAATTAAATCCTTCATTTAAATACCGCCGACATAAAAACCGTACCGGCAATGCTCTTGTTGAACTTTGCCGAGAACAACTCTCGCTTGCAAATTATGTTTTTTTTTTCGCGGCGTGCTTTCGTGCCGTATTCGTCACGCACATTGGCTGATAACCCCGGCTCGTGTTACCGTGTCTGGCGAGGTATCAATCCATCTCTGTGCGATCGAGTGAAAGCAAACTCCGATCCCGTCGCCTTTATTAATGGATTTTCATATCAAACATTCGAAAGTTCATTACTATGCTCGTACGCGTGTAGACTAGTAAATGAAACGGTTTCGTTCAAGCGGGTGTTTGAACTTTTTATGAAGTATATCATCATAGGGAGTTTGTTATCTAAATATTGTATCCGAAAGTAGGTATTTTTGGAAAAGTTCGAAAGCCATTCTAAACACTGCCCACAAACGTACTGTCTATTGTTTAAGATAAACCGTTTAGTTGGGAAGTATTCTTATAATTTATAAAGAAAGTACTAATTTCATTTAAATATACTTTATGTATTTAAATTAAATTAGTACTTTCTTCACGTTTCATCATAAAAAAAAACATAATTAAAAATATTATCAAGTCTAACATTCTGTAAATTGTATTAGGTAAGGCATTTGTCTTTATTGAAAATCATATTTTAAATAAATTACACCACTTTTATTTCGGAATAAATGCAAAATTAAGCTAAAAACAATGGGACTTCTATTATATTTAAAATAATTAGTGGGTTAGATTTTAAAACGGTATGATTTCTTTATTCGTAATTACGTAATATTCTTCACGCAACAAATTACTTTAAGTTATTACAGAATGGTTATTAATCCAAAACGTACATAATTACACTAGCTACCAAGTTTATACCTAAATTCTATTTTGTGGCATCACTCTATTTCGCAATATTAAAATTTGAGCAAATTTTTCCAACTCGAACTTATTTCTTGAAGAATCATAGAAAGCTTTTTCGTATTCTCTTGCGACAATATTACGTACAAACATGATCCCAAGACTTCAACGGGTCACGCCTACACCTAAAATTCGTAGAAATGGAAACCGGTTATTCAAATCGGAAGGTCCTTTAATAGTTCGACAATGGCAACATACAGATGTGTCGAAACTATTTGACTGAGTTTGCTCAACTCGCTCATACCAGTTTTGATAAGATTTCGGGTCAAGTTATTCTCCCACGTATGTCTGTGTCAACAGCTGATTAGTCTAAACGTGCCATGTGATAAGTTCGTTATACTAATTAGATGGTTTTTTTTAGTGAGAAAGTGGCAAGCGACCTGGTGGTTCACACAGGGCCGGTTTCAATATTCTATCTCTCTTTAGAATTGGTTACTGGCGGTAGGTATTTGACATTAGCTCCATACTACTTACCTACGTCAAATTTCTATCACCTGTAAGCAAATCTACAGATAGATAGAATATAGAAAGGTCGTTAGTAATAAGTGATAATCGCCGCCCATTACATTAACACTCGTTGGGTTGCAGATGCGTTGCCACCTCATAAAAAGTGGACCCCGGCTATCTCACTCACCAGACAAAACGCCGAAGTACCTATAACAATCCCACTTCACGCCGACCTTTTGTGAGGTCGTGGTTTTTACCCGAATGGACCTGCCGATTTATGCAACAGCGAAGACTGTTGCGTTTCCCTGTCACATTTAACGTAGTATAATTAATGTGCAATTCATTTTACTTTATACCTTTCGGCAACATCTTATCTTTAATTCTTTCAGCACTATCTTCAAATGTTTAACTCCTAAAAGAGACGTCTCCTAAAAACGACGTGCAGTTACAATACAACTTCCAAGTAATGATTCAGAAGCATTTCATTCAGCTTTCTACTCGAACAGAGCTGTTCGATTGTAAATTCCGTGAATTCTCCGGGCGGCCATTGTGACTCGCATTGGAATGTCGCCACGTAGGCGGCGCGGCTGTGGGACCTGTAACTGCGGCATCTACGCAGTTACAGGTCCCACAGCCGATATTCCTATGTCATAGTATTCCTATGACCAAGGAAGTTACGAACTACTGCATTATCGATTATGAAAAAAACTCGAATAGTTTCAACGTAAAATAATGTAAAAGTCGATAATGTGCGTCTCACTTTCAGGTATGGTCCATTTTGAACCTAGTCAGAGATACAGCTCAGCAGCCTTTACGATGTAGGGGAAAAATTTAAATTTAAATCGGTTTCCAGAGATTACTTGAGTGTATTGAAAAAATTCCCAACCACTTTTATTAAGTATACGACGTACTTACATATTTTAAATAAAATCTTTATTTGTAACTTTTTACAAAAGAAAAATGGCGGTAAACTAAAAGAACGCGTAGACAAAGGTTTAGGATTAAGTAAACCGCCACTGGTGTTAAAAGTTCCATTATTTTTTGTAAACCATGCTGCGGTCATACAAATATTTATATGTAGTTTTTTAATAATTGTAACTATTATTGTTGCCAATTAATGTTTACCCAATATTGTCAATTATTCTTGTCTAGAGTTAAAAGCCATTGACGTTTCATATTAGCTTACAATGACTTGAACGACATCCAATTATACTTATAATTATTTTACATTCCTTCTATTCAATGATAACTTAATGGATTTTCGTTTATTTTTAAAAAATATACTGCAACTCTGTCATTTTCAATGCGCACGTACATTGACATTGTGTGGACATTATACGGTTGTTTTATTATTCCAAGAGCGGAGTCCAGCTAATTATTATGCCAACGCCACACAGATCATCGTTAAATAACAAGACGTAGAGGTCCGTCCGCCAACACGAATAGCTTTGCCATATTCGTACCATCACTCCACGATGTGTGTGC